CTATTAATAATTTAATTTGTTTATCAAACTAAAATCTCAAACATTGATTGGTTCAATTATTGATGAGAAAACGTAAACGTCAGAAAACCCTGCAGACAAACTGAGGATATCCTCTTTCTGCCTCGCTACATGTCTCTATGGTGTCACTCTGAGCACTGAGTACTTTATATGCATGGCTGCCTTCAGTTTGTGATGCGCTGTCAGTTTTTCAGTCTCAGCTCTACAAGTGGAGAAGACAAATCCTCTGTGACGACGTCTGTGGATGCAGCGAAAGTGCAGTCGAAGGAAACGTGCCTGTTTTGTCAAAGTGGAGGAAGACATGTTGATTTACTGCAGTTTAAGATGATTTGCCAGCATATTCAAATCTGTAAAGTTCCCACAGTGAGTTGAGTGAAACAGGTTCCTGTGCCCACTGAAAGTCTGACTAGCACTTTTTTTTAGTAGGAGCTGAAGTAAGTCATTCCTCCTAAATTCAACAAGGTGCACCGAATTGGGAAACTACAATCTCGCAATGTTAAAGAAAGACAAAAAAATAAAATCCCCCGATCCACCCTCTGATCCGGATCCGCACCAAAATTGAATGGGCACCACATCCTTCCACCAAGTCTGGTTGAAAACAAGCAAACAAACGCCCAGGGATGACAACATTAACTCAGGGTTGCTAAATGTATTCACAGCGTACTGCTCCGTTGCTTCACTGCCGGCTGAATCTAAAAAAATGATAATCTGATCATGCTGTTGTCTTCACAGTTTATCTACAGCTTGATGCGAGATCGTATTTTTCTCATACATCTGCCTATGGTTACTTTTAATACATATTTGAAGAAGAAAGTCATCTGCAGCGTGCAGAGCAGCAGAGCTGGAGACGTTTAAGTTGTACATTTCCTACGTGACTTCCAAGAGAAGAGAATCTAGGACACAGAGCAACATCAGCAGCTCTGTTTCTCTTTGTCCAGAAAAAAAATAGGCAGCATGTTTCAGGAAAGACACGTTCAAGAGCTCAAACCACTGCACACTATAATTGAAGGGGTCCCAGAAACACATGAACATCAACAAATTATTCGTAGGGGGGAGGTGGTCAGAAAATACATAAATCATTTATTCAAATTAAACTACCTTCACTCCGAAAATAATTTCTAAGAATTTAAAATGATTCCTTTCAGATGTGGGTCACTGGGACAAAAACCTTTATCAAACGTCTGTCATGGGAGCCTTGACATGAAAAAAAAAAAAAAAAGTTGGGCCGCTCTGGTTGCCTGAGTGAGTCTGTGGGCCTATTTGCATCCCCTAAACCTGTCCCAGTAAACTAATTGGCGTTACTAATAGGTGGCTGGATGAACTGTAGCCCTGTATGGTAATGAATTCACACGATCCGGTGTCATAGCTGAAGGACTTGTTAAAATGCAAATGAATGATGACCCTGTTATGTGTCTATCAATTTAGGCATCCGCGTTATTAGCGCATTACAATGAGCCCCTTGTTCATGCACGAAAATACAATTAGGCCCACAGGCAGGGCCGGTTCCACAGAACAGAAAATTGGATTTAAGGACAGGCTTTCAAAACTACTAGCTAATTTCAGCAATAAATATAAAGTGGCCACAACCACTTTGAGGGTAATTGCAGATCTCCCTGAATATTTAACTCTTTTCGGGAGGGATTTTCTTTCGTTGTGCACGTCGATGTGATGTGAGGAGGACCGTGTGGCTCCAATGTGCAGGATAATGTAAAGAGAAAGATGCCTCTCTGATGTGCAGTATGTATTATTGAATGTGTCTGTGAATACCACAAGAGACTACTATGCAATTTTTCCAAACAACTTCCGCGGCTCCTGCGTTGCCCCTCTCTGATCCACATATTGTTCTGCCACTGACAGAAACCAGAATATAGCCTGCTGTGTGTGTGTGTGTGTGTGTGTGTGTGTGTGTGTGTGTGTGTGTGTGTGTGAGCGTGTGTTTGAGCCAAAAAAGCAGAGCCAGATGTTTGAAATTACATGTCCCACTATTTCATCCTCCTTAAAGCAGGAAAAACCAGAGACAAAGAAGAAGGCGGCCAGATAAAAAAGAGACAAAAACACACACACAAAAAACCAGAGAGATCAATATGCAAAGCAGAGCTTGTGCTCATGCGACCGCAGCAGAAGACAACAAGTTTCTGTTTAGTTTTAGTTCTGAGAGGAAATTAAATGCACTCATCCCCAAACACTCTTATGTAGGAACCGGTCAAACGCAGATAAAATGATGAGCTGTTTGTTTTTCTTTGAATATGGAAACACAGGATTTGTGTTGTTCTGGTGCAAACAGAGCTTTGACTTCAGCTGATTTTCTACTTCACACCTCTGGAGGTCGCTGTAGATCCCATCTTTCACACTCTAAATTCTGTTTTTATTCAATGAAAATATGAAGGCGTGATATTTTGATTAGAAATATGTTGCATCTAAATAGAGTAAAATATCCGTATTACATAAAATAACAGGATTACAAGTAAGAAATGTAGAGGGAGACAATTAGTGAAAGATGATTAAAAATTACAGAAAGAATAAAACAAATCTGTTATTTTAATTTATTTACACTTACCTGACTGACTTTAGAATAAGTATTGCCTTTAGGGCCATAATTAAATTATTTTCTGTTTAATCACTGTAACTGTGCTGCCTCTTTCCACACAAAAGTGTAAAATACTGCTTTTTTCTCCCGCCCGCCCTGAAGCAAAGAAAAAGCATTTTGTGAGTCTGGCAGGAGAAGCGATTCTGTGAGAAAACCTCTGGCCATCCTTGAGACATTACAACTGTACATGCTTCACAGGTTTTGCCTCCTCTTCTCTGGCATTAATTACATTTGCCTCATCAACGGGTTTATATATTATAGGTGTTTAACACAGACAGCTGTGAGAGAGCAACTCTTCAGCACCTCTGAAAAGGGATTTCTGATGATAATTCTCTTTTTCCAGCATGTATGTTATCTCAGAGTGATTCACCAGGGATTTATAAATGTGTTGAGAATACATTTAATAAAATTTTTAAAAACGGTGTTCTCATTTCATGTAAAACATCTTTGCTTCTTTGATTTGTTTGCCATGTGCACAGATATATTGTTCCATCTTTTGCCATCTCATCAGGAATCTGACTCTGAAGTCCCTGTTAAATGAGGCATCAACACGTTTAAGATTTATTTAACCTCATTATGATTCACTCTAAATGAGTAAGAGAGAAATTTTCCTGTGAAAAGTGAAAATGTTAATATGCAGCTATGCCCTGTTTGGTCAATTGTTTAGCTGGGCTTCAAAGCAGCGGGGGACCAAGATAACGAAATAAAGCCGTGAAAATAACAGCTCACGGGGGCAACAGAGAGCAAAGCATCCTAGATCATTATCTCACTTCTTTTGAGGATTTCAAAAATGATCCTAGTTGATTTAAGAACAGAACAAAAAGTCAGTTGATTGTACAATTAGTGGGCTTAAAAAAGGGAGATTCTCCAGTCTAGGTGTGGGCAAATCACCTGTTCTTTTCTTTCTACTTGTAGACCCGTGGTGGTTTGAGCTGGGTTCACATACTGGCCCTCTATTCATTCATCCAAGAGCCTTGAAAACCTGCAGCGCTCCTCCACAGAGTGTCCCACAGCTTCCCTCATCATTGCCTGTAATGGAGGCATGCAAGAGGGGAGACACTCTGGGAGACACTGGCTGGCTGACAGAGGAAGAGGAAGAGAAGATGAGGAGGGAGGGGGCAGACAGATGTTTGAATCTCAGCCCCGGGGCTGATGAGATTAATCCATCCTCCAAGGCACAGACAGAAACAGAGAGCGGGATAGAGAGATGGAAGCGATGACTATTAGTTGGCTCTTTCCTCTCTGCATCCCAGACATCCTGATGCTTATTTATTCTATTTTTATTTTGCCAAGGTTAGCAGCAAACCTATTATAGATCTGTGAGAAATGTGAGAAAAGAAA